CTTCATCGTTGTGTCTGATTCTGTGTTCCTGACTTCGGCTAGTATTGTGACTATTCTTGGAGATGTTAAGTCTGGCCATTCTATGTCCGGTTATACATTATCCTTAGTCCTAGGTGTGACACAGTTCTGTGTGCTGGATCAACTTGTAATCCTGACATATACCCCCTCCTTTATCCGCTGACCGGATGACTATAGCGGGGTCGGCGGCTAATTGTTTTATGAGACGTCTTTGCTGTTTCCTGATATTGTGAGGTTTGCTCCTGTTTTGTGAAAAGATGGTCTGGGTTGATTTGTTTGTGGTTGACAAAAATGTTTTTATTGATGCTTTATTTGATTGTGGATCAAATGTTGTCTTGAGCTTGACTTGATCAACCACTTGTGCATTAGTTTTGGTCTTAACTACTTCAGGACGATTAAAAAATTATTTCAAACGCATTGATCTGACGAATTTAAACAGCTCAACATTCCACAAAAATTCTTTAGGATGTGCAGTTGGTACAAAAGATAGACCTCAAATCAATAGATCCATCTCCTGTTTATTGAATGATCTATGTGAAAGATTAAAGATTGGGACTATTTCCTGAGGGGTGGTTTGCCCTGAGGACCAGCTCTTGCCCTTGTGCCCTCTTCTTGTTCTATTCCTTCGTGGCCTACTGTTTGGCTCTTGGTGATGGTGCCTGTGCCTTTGTTCTCTAAAAAAGGAGCAATATCCTGATGTTTGTCACTTTCTGAGGCCGACTCGCCAGAGGCTACATCTATGGTAGTGACTTTAGGACGATGTATACGCTTATGTTGTCTCCTGGGTCTGTGTGGATTATCCCTAGACAGCCATTTGTAGACCCTATGATCTTTATAGTCTTGCTGCACTTTATTACATTTTTTCTTATATTTCAAGAGTTCCTCCTTTAATTTCTGTTTGAGTTGTAATCCCTCAGGTGACGCTAGGAGTATGGCATGTTCAGTTTCCAAACTTTGAATTTTTTGGTTGATATCTGCCAAATCAGTTTTCACATCTTGGATAATAATTAACATGAGGTCTAATGATGCTTTGTTGAGAACATGTGTCCAATCTTTGCAAACTTTAGGTTTCATGCATCCTATAGTAGGGATGTTTAATATCCTAAACCCTCTAGGTATTATCTTCACTTTATAATAGTCAGTAGTTTTTTTGATCCTGAGGAAAGCCCAAAGTTGTGCTGAAACGTTGATCATTTTAATGCATATCCAATAAAGTGTATTGATTTTTTAAGAAGACCGTGGAGTTCAGCCTTACTTATGGATACTCTATTTGAACCAGCCTGCAGGCTTTGGCACCCGGCAAAAATAAAATAATGCTCTTGCACTCACGCTTTAGTGTCCCTTTGTTATGGGCAAATGCAAATATTACAAGTTTTAGAATGAAATGTTGTATTTCTTAAACTGTGTACTTTGTCTTTAAGAGATATTGCAAACTGACAAGGTGTTAGAAATGGAACATATTGTTTTTCATAACTGTTTCTTTAAGCAATAACCTCAGTGCATAATATGTTTGCGCCATTTTGTCCCAGACGAATTACAATAACAATAATGCATAAACAAGCTTCAAGGCTATGCTATGACTCTTGCAGTACACAATATACTGTGGTAACCCCAAGTTAATGGAACTTCCCCAAATCCGGGAATCTCCCACGACTGTACACTTACGACTTAGTATAAACAACATATAACCTATTCAGACTTTAAGATGCCATCTTGAACTAAGTCAGGAAAATTTCCATGACGTATGCACCCATTAGTTATGGCCTTGTATGTTTGCCAAATTAAGGGAGGTCCTAAATTGAATAAAGTAAAAGAAGTGTTACTTTTTCATATTTGAACTACAGTAACCTAAAATGGAGACATCTGAGGTATAAATAGGTGTACTTTTAAATGTTAAGACACAGAGGAGAGACTTGGAGACAGACGCTGCTCCATCTTAAAATGACAGAGAGGCTGACATGATGACATGTTCAGAAGGGTATGTTAACCTATTAATGATATTTGCAAGCATGTAATTTAAATCTTATAAACTCTGCTATAATGGATTTTATATTTTTATATAATAAATATCCAAAAAGACAATCTTGCTTCCAAGACAATCCTTATTTTATATTGTATTCTCAATTATTTATATATGTTAAATAGAGGATCTCTTACACTATATAAAATTATGGCTAAGATATCTGTATGGTTAGCCCTACTAAGTTCTATGCTTTAAGACATTATAGTCGTAAATAAGGGAACCACCAGCGGTTACAATTGGCGACCACGAAGGGACTTTGTACTTGGAAGCTTTAAATATAAAATAAATACCTAGGTAACCTCTTATACGTAAGAGAAGACACAACACTTTGTCATGGCACAAGTCTTGAAATATCAAGAATCTATTGAGCTACTTGTAGCCCAGACTCAGAGAGAGATCATTAGAGATGATTTTAATGTGAACAAGGCACTGTGAGTTTAGGTGCCAGGTACAACGTAATTAGCATACAATGCTGAAATTGTGGATCTTAACTAATATCATAATAGAACAAATATACATATTTGGTAAACTCTCTGATATGCCTAGTACACCAGCACAGCATGGCCCGTTAGTTCCAGGACAGTGGATTTCAGACAGGGGGATATGTTCTCTTTGTAGCTGCTTAGTATGCATGCGCAGGAAAAAGATTAATGCAAAATGTTGTCAAAAGAAAAGTGATAAGACAGAGCGATGAAATTTGAAGTCTAGTTCCAAGAATGCAAAGAAAATTGCATTATGGCTTAATGAAAACATTCATGCAACAGACAGACAGGATTTTTAATTATTGCATTACTGCATTCTGGATTCTAATGTCCACTATATATGAAAAGTTTTATAAAACAGTGATATTTTCCATATTGTCAGTTACGCTAGCTGTTGATTGAAAATCAGGAATTATAACAGCATAACTATTTTTGGAGTCTGGAATTTCCAGCCAAGGTTGCAGAGATACAGAGACATGTAAACATTCCAAGGAACTGAGAAGTCGTTGTTTTATATTCCAAATTATGAACAACATTATTACATACAGCCATAGAGAGAAAGACATGGCTATTAAATACATTGAGTGCAGTACAATGCAGTACACTGCAGCATATATATTATATAATATAAGATAACTAGCTTATATTTTTTCCTAAACAGAGTTGAAATTATACTACCCTCCTAGAAAAAAGGGCAACAGGTGGTTATACATCCTTTGCTTCTCTAAATGCTATGCAAAAATAAATATTTATAAAATTATTAAAAATAATATATGTAAGAAATCAGGGCAAAATAAAATGGTAACTATACAGGATCTCTGATAACTTTTAAACTGAAATTATTAAAGGCTTATTTAAATAAAATGTTAAATACATTTACAGCTTTAACCCCTTAAGGACGGAGCCAAATGTACACATTGTGAACAAAACAAAATGTAAACAAAACCTGGCATTTGCGCTACATGTCTGTCCAACCGTAATACACCTCTTTCATAGTAAATGCACCTACCCTTATTATATATCATTTTATTCAGGGGAAACAGGGCTTTCATTTAATATCAAATATTTAGCTATGAAACATAATTTAATATGAAAAAAATGGGAGAAAATAAGTTTTTTTTATTTTTTTAGTTCTACATGACATTTTAACGGTCAATGTCATAATACTGTTTGCTTTTACTGCAATAAAATACACATATTTATATTCAGTAAAGTCTCACGTGTAAGACAGTACCCCCTATGTACAGGTTTTATGGCGTTTTGGGAAGTTACAGGGTCAAATATAGCACGCTACATTTGAAATTGAAATTCGCCAGATTGGTTACGTTGCCTTTGAGACTGTATAGTAGCCCGGGAATGAAATTTACACCCATAATGGCATACCATTTGCAATAGTAGACAACCCAAGGTATTGCAAATGGGGTATGTCCAGTCTTTTTTAGTAGCTATTTGGTCACAAACACTAGCCAAAGTTAGCGTTAGTATTTGTTTGTGTGAAAAATGCAAAAAATGCCAATTTTGGCCAGTGTTTGTGACTAAGTGGCTACTAAAAAAGACTGGACATACCCTGTTTGCAATACCTTGGGTTGTCTACTATTGCAAATGGTATGCCATCATAGGGGTAATTTTCATTCTTGGGCTACCATAGGGTCTCAAAGGCAACGTAACCAATCTGGCTAATTTTAATGTGAAAAAAATGAAATGCAAGCCTTATATTTGACGCTGTAACTTTTGAAAACACCATAAAACCTGTACATGAGGGGTACTGTTGTACTCGGGAGACTTCGCTGAACACAAATATTTGTGTTTCAAAACAGTAAAAAGTATCACAGCAATAATATTGTCCGTGTAATGCTGTTTGTGCGTGAAAAATGCAAAAAACGTCACTTTTACTGGCGATATCATCGTTGTAATACATTTTACTGTTTTGAAACACTAATATTTGTGTTCAGCGAAGTCTCCCGAGTAGAACAGTACCCCCCATGTACAGGTTTTATGGTGTCTTGGAAAGTTATAGGGTTAAATATAGTGCTAGCAAATTAAATTCCCTTTACTTTCGGCATGGGTTGTCAGGCAGGTCCCGCTAATTGTATTAATTAAGATACCTAATTATGTAAAAATATTACATAAATATATATGTAGAATTAATATATGTATATATATATGTATGTGTATATATATGTATATATCTATATAATTTTTTTTAAATATTTTTATTTATATATAGGTATATATATAGTGATATATACGTATATATTTATGTATATAGATATATATATTATTTCGTTCTACGTGTATTTTGATATATATATATATATATATATTAATTTCACAAAACAGTTAGAACAAAATAACACACATCTATATATTTTTTAATTATTTATTTTTAATTATTTTTTTAATTTTATTTTTTAACGTATTTACATTTTAATTTTTTTTATATTATATATAAATATATATTGTTGTGGAAATAAGGTCTACACATATTTCCTAGTTAGTGAAAAATGTCTATTTACTCATTTCACGATATATATATATATAGTCAAGCACACACGTTATAATTAAGATGGCTGCTAGAAGCTTCTTGCTCCTTTCCCCCCCCCCCCTTCCCTTTCTCCTTCCTAACATCGACTAACTACCTCGTGCACCAAGATGGCGCCGGGAAACCGTGGGAGACCCTCATGGTCCCGGTGACATCACCTACAGTAGGCAGAACATTAGAGCAACCACTTAACACCTAACCAATAATTGATGTATTATTCCATGTTATCTCTGACAATGCTTATGATGTAATTTTGCTTTAAAAGGGACTTGCCGTCCCCTCTGAATAAACATTCCTCAAGTTATTCAACAACCTGGAACCTGTGTCTGATGTGAATTACTTCAGGGAGCGTGCACGCATTGTTTCATTGATTTGGCCAGGGGCAGATACACAAAGAAATAATCAATACTTTTAATTGATTTTTCCATTTCAATTGGCGCCCAACGTGGGGCCACCGGAGGGCCGGTTCGGAGGGCCGGAACCAACGGACCGGAGCGGACCTCCGGAAAGTGGGACAAGCGGAGCCTGATCACCTCCATAATACAGCCGTTGCCTGTGTTATTCTCCTGTTTTGTGTCGGTCTGTCCACTTCCGGCTTCCAGAAGGCTACTAGAGACAGGTAATTAACTCATCCGGTGTGCCTTTTAAGGTGAACCTGTCGATTGTCTATCTGCCTCCTGTATTTGTTTGAATGTGTGTGACGGCCGGAGTGTGTGTTTTCCCCCTTTTTAAAAGACAATAGCTTGACTGCCTAGCGGGCAGGGGACGCATTACAGCCGGTGGGGCTGGGATTTTACAGCCGGTGGGGCTGGGATTTTACAGCCGGTGGGGCTGGGATTTTACAGCTTGGGACTTGACTGCCTAGCGGGCAGGGAACGCATTACAGCCGGTGGGGCTGGGATTTTACAGCCGGTGGGGCTGGGATTTTAAGTTAGCTTGACTGCCTAGCGGGCAGGGAACGCATTACAGCCGGTGGGGCTGGGATTTTGCAGCCGGAGGGGCTGGGATTTTAAGTTAGCTTGACTGCCTAGCGGGCAGGGAACGCATTACAGCCGGTGGGGCTGGGATTTTGTTTGTTTATTACTGTGCTCTCATTAATACTTGTGTTATACTGGGACCAGCCTGGTGGGTGAAGGCTGAGGATTGCTATACTTCGTTTATTCAGCACTGGTGTCATTAACATGTACATGGCCATTTTACTCTCTGTCATCCTGTGGTTCTTGTTTAATTGTTGTTACAGCGTGGGTACCCTTGGTGTGTGCGTGTGTATTGTGTGGTTAGTTCTGGACTCCGGAGTCTATGCTCATTTATATGTTTGTGATTTTTGCAAATGTCTTCTCATTAGCGCAGCCACATTCATCTTTTCTTTTGTGCTTTATCTCTCCTGTGCCTGTTGCCCAGAGCTGTGTTAGTCACCCACGCTCATTCGCTCCCGTCCGTGACCACCACCCCGGGTGGGCGGATCTCCGTGACTAGTCTACGTTTGGGGAAGACGCACGGGGCTCAAGTTCTCGTGGCAGTTGAGCACTGTAGACACTCCTTCTCCCCTCCTTTCTTATACCTCCTCTATCCATCTGTCATTAACGAGTGGCACGTTTTATTTGGTCAAGATGGGGCAGGAACATGCTAGACCTGCTAAAGGTTTATTGGCTTGTGATATTGTGAAAGAAAGGGCAGGGGAAGATGCTATGATGAAACTTAAAAAGATTGCTAAGGTGTGTGGCTTTCAGATGTTACCCAGTGGGAGATTGCAACCGGAGTTTTGGAGAAAGCTACTCATAGATAAGGAAGGTTTATTGTTGGATAACGAACTGACAAAGGTTGCAGAGGCTTGGTATCGTGTAGCCAGAGGTTTGAAACGGGAAGGATGGGTCGAGGAAGAGTTGGAATTTGAAGGGCAAATTGTGCATGTTTACCATAGGAGTGTTCACAATGATGATGTTGTTTCCATTGTTCCACGGCCACCACCCTATGATGGCGCCCAGAGCGCAACAGTAAATTCCCGCCCTGCTTCTCCCATCACAGCTCAGACCCCACCCCCCGGGGGTGTGCCTACAGCCCCCACTCCCTTATGTCCTGTACTCGGTGTAGACGGAGCTTACTATTTCCCAGTGCCACATCACTCGTTCCCACCCACTCCCATGCCCCAACCCCCCTGTGACCAGACCCCCTCTTTCAACCATCGTCCCGCCATGTCCATCGGAGCCCCCCCACCTCCATGCCCTCCGTTACCTTTCCCAGCGCCAGTCCTCACCCCGAACACTGTCCCGACTATTCCCGCCTCGACCATGGAAGTTCCATCCCCCTCCTCCTCCCAGTCCCTCTCCACTTTGAGTACCCCTTCCCTAGTAGTCCCCGCTCCTTCTCCATCTCCGTCCGTCCTACGTCCTACACCCCCCGCTCCTATCTACCCAACCGACCCTGTCTCCCCGGACCCCTGTCCCCCGGTCGACTCTCCCTCCCCGGTATCCTCAGGAAATCCCGTGACCCCCAGCCCTACACCTCCATTGTCCCCCACCCCTTCTCATCTCCTCTCCTCCTCCTCCTCATCTTCCAAAGATCCCCCGTCCCTACTCTCCGCTCTCATGAATCTTGTTCAGCCCGTTAGTCCCGGTTCCTTTACCTCCGGCCCCCTATCCACAGTTACCCCTCCCATCCTCAAGGACCCTCTTACTCCTCCTCCAGCGTTACCTCCTCCTGAAACCCCAGCCCCCTCTGCCTTGTTGCCTCCTATTCCCGCGACCGATTTGCCGTCCCTAATCTCCGCCCTCACCGCCCTAACCCAACCCATTGCCGTCACCCCTCTCACTCCTCCTCCAGCGTTACCTCCTCCTGAAACCCCAGCCCCCTCTGCCTTGTTGCCTCCTACTCCCGCGGCCGATTTGCCGTCCCTGATCTCCGCCCTCACCACCCTAACCCAACCTCCCGTCGCCATCCCCCCGGCCTCTTTTCCCTTGTTACCACCCCCCGACATCCCTACCCCCCCGACCTTGACACAGGCCCTTGGTCCCGTCCCTCCGACCCTTTCCCCCGTGACCCCTGACACACACATGACCAATGACCTGTCCGGCTCAATATCCGCCCTCTTCACTGCTGTTACTTCCCTAGTTACTTCCGCGATCCCCGTACCACCTCCCATTGACGTACCTCCTCTTCCTCCTCCTCCTCCCCCCGAACCTCCGACCCCACCCTTGTCTCCTGCCGAAGTCCCCGAGCCCCCCGATCCAATCTCCGCCCTTGCACATGTCCTAAATACACACCTTTCACGCCCAACCCACCCGGCCCCTGTGACAGCCCCTTCCACGGCTTTGGTCCCTCGTGTCCCTTCCGCCAGTCCAAGTTACCCAATCATGGTGGTTGGATCCGAGGTGTCTGGGACATCTGACCAGCCCTATGCAATGGGTGCCTCCCCCCAGGCTTCGGGTTTTCACCCAGTTACCTTACCTACCACAGCCCTCCCTGTTGTCCCCGCTACAGCTACCCCTGAGGCTACCCTCCGCCGTGGCCCAGTGTTGCCCGAAGAGGTTGTTGCGGTTGACCAGAATTCGCCCCAGATGGGGGTGAATAGGCTCCCCCAACAGCACACTACCCCTCAAGGTTACATCCCGATCAACCATGGTGCGGATGGAGCACCGCCTATGTATGTTACCTTTAACCCTTCCCAAGCTGCTACCCTTGTGACCTCACTCCCCGATCCTGAAAAACACCCTATGCCCTTTTTCCGCCGGATGGCTCAGATCCGTAAAACGTACTCCGCTGCTTGGCGGGATCTTATTAGTCTATGTGAAATCAAAGCCGGTGATGCATACTGGCCAATCATGGAACGGAGCTTTAATGACGCTCCACTTACTTCTGATACTGACTTTCGTTCTGGTGAAGTCTTTTGTGAACAGCTTCGAGCTTGGGCACAGGATAAACTAGCAGATCAGGCTACTTGCATTAATGACATTATACAGGACAAACTTGAGACAGTTGAGAAGTATCACTCTAGGTTGACTCAGACTTTTTCAGACTTAGGGTTTAGTACTTACAACAAAGCACACACCCAGATGCTATCTGCAGCCTTTGTGGCAGGGCTTAGAGAACACATCCGTAAGGGGTTAATCTTAGCTCGGCCTGAGTATAGAATTATTCCACTGGACACTCTTTTGCTAGTTGCCAAGGGCTTAGAATCTGTTTTGCTACCTACACTACGTAGACCCAGTCCTCTGATGTATGCTACCTCCACCCCATTCGCTGGTCCAGGCCAGGGTCCTCAGATGTTTCCCCAACAGTACACCCAGCCCCCCCAGACACTGCCTGCACCAATTCCTTTCTCCCGTGATCGGTCTGTCACGACAATCCGGACCTGCTTTAATTGTAATCAGCCAGGTCACTTTAGAAGAGATTGCCCACACCCTAGAGTGTTCCGCCAGCAGACTCCCCGGTACCAAAATCCACATGTCACCAGTTACAGTTTCCCCTCCACCGGTTACCTCCCTACCCTACCCCATCCACAGTTGCCTCAGTTACCTCCTCCACCTCCTCCCCCTCCGCCTCCTGAGTATTCCCAAGCCCGGCTCCCCGCAGCAGAAGCCCGTGCATACACCTCGCCCTCTGCTGAAGGGTATGATACTGATGACCTCCAAGACAACCCACCTCATCCCCGCCATGCCCTCCGTCCATCCCGCCCACCTATGCATACTGCTAACCCTCCCTCCACCTCCCGCCGGTACCAGGGACCGGATCAAGCCCACCTAGATTTATTACAATAGGTAACTGGCAAGCCTGTGTCAGCAACCCCTGCCATGGCAGTGTCTGCGGGGGATGGAGGAGGACCTTTGGCTACATTAGTTCTCCCCGTGGAGGGTCACCCAACCACCTTTTTAGTTGACACAGGTGCAGCCCGTAGTGTCCTTAGGGAACAAGACCTGCCAGACCCTTCCTTCCTATCTGACACTGATGTCTCCTGTGTTGGGGTGGATGGTACACCACGCAGTAACCCCCTCACCAAGCTCTTACATGTAGGCTCACATATCCTGTCCCGTTTTGTTGTTTCCTCCACCTGCCCCATTAACCTCCTAGGTGCCGATGTTCTCTCTCGGCTCCAGGCTTCCATTAACCTTTACTGCTGATGGACAGGTTGAGTTGACAACCCCCTTATCGCAGAAAGATACTTCTGTACTCTGCTCACTCCCAATTTTGTTGAATCTAACTGACAATACAGGGAATGCACGGGTCACACACACCCCCAGTGCCCTGGATCGTATTCCCCAAGAACTTTGGTCCACCGGCCCGGATGATATTGGACGCTTACATGTACCCCCAGTCCTGGTCCAGCTCCTGCCTGGTGCACTCCCCCCTCGTAGACCTCAGTATCCTCTGAAGCCAGCACAAGCTGAGGCCATCACCAAGCAAGTTGAGACCCTGCTTGCAAAAGGTGCCCTCACCAAGTGTACATCTCCATGCAACACCCCTCTCTTCCCTGTTAAAAAGCGAACTGTTAAGGGCCAACCCGACCAATACCGTATGGTACAGGACCTCCGTGCTGTTAACGAGGTAACCATAAAGGACACTGCTATTGTTCCAAACCCTCATACCCTTTTGTCACAAGTGCCTCCAACTTCAACAATTTTTACTGTTGTGGATCTGGCTAATGCTTTTTTCAGTGTTCCCCTTGATCCCTCCTGCCGTTTTCTCTTCGCCTTTACACATGAAGGACAACAATATACTTGGACTGTTATGCCCCAGGGAGCGCAGAACTCCCCAACACAGTTTGCTCATGCCATGTCTCTGGTTCTGGATCCCTGGCAGAAATCACATCTCGATGTTGTTCTACTACAATATGTTGATGACCTTCTACTCTGTGCTCCTAATTTGCTAATTGCAGAACGTGACTCAGAAGATCTCTTATGTTTCCTCGCTGCTGCCGGGTGCAAGGCCTCAAAATCAAAGCTACAATGGTGCCGGCCCTCTGTGGTCTTCTTGGGACATTGCCTTTCCCATGGCACCAAACATCTAACCTCACAACGGGTGCAAGCTATCCTGCAACTCCCATTACCTGCAACCCATCACTCTCTTCATGCTTTCTTGGGTCTCATAACATACTGCAGGTCTTGGATACCTGAAGCATCCAAACTCATGCAACCTCTCTATGATGCACTTCGAAGTGAGCCCTTTCACCTCACTGAAGAAACTATTGACTGTTTCCATACTCTGAAAAGAGCTATTGCCTCTGCTCCTGCCTTGGGCCTACCCAACTATCAACTCTCTTTCAATTTGTTTGTCTCTGAAAAATCAGGACATGCTTCCGGAGTCCTTACCCAGAAACATGGGTCCAGACAACGGCCCATTGGCTATTTTTCCTGTATGTTTGACCCTGTTGCAAGGGGCAGCCCCTCTTGCCTCCGTGCTGTATTTGCCGCCAGTGCCCTCCTGGACAAGACTAATGACTTTGTGCTTGGCCATCACCTTACCGTGTTGGCCCCCCATGACATTACTGCTATCCTGCAACAAGTTCAACCCAAGCACCTTTCCTCCCAACGCCACCTCCGCCTGCAAACCTCATTGCTTTTACCTGATAACATAAAACTTCAGAGATGCCTAACCCTGAACCCGGCCACTCTTCTGCCACTTCCCAAGGGGGGAATTGTGTACCACTGGTACAGCCTGGATATCAACCCGGAAGTTCTAACAAATCTGCAACTACCTGCACTTGCACCTCCACATGATGAACAATCAATGGCCCTACTTCATTGCACTTTGTGGATTAGGGATGAACCAGGCCCTGATATGAATTACGAGGCAGAAGTATTCCAACTCAAAGAAATCCAAATTACCCTAACTGACTTGTTTTGGGACCTCACAGGTACCATGCTTATCTTGGTCCACCTCCCAGAGAGTGTGACACATCTCTATCACCATTGGGAAACATCGATCCCACACATATCTCTCACCAGACCCCCCGACATCTCGTGGAAAGACCTAGGCCCGATGGCCAAAACCTGGAGTCAAATGACCCCAGAACAACTGACTTCTACGAGAATCAACAAAAAGACTATTAATTACTGTACAACTGGGTACCCCAGGTACCATACAGAAGCCTGTGAGGATCCACTCACCACAGACTGTGACCTCGATATCCCTCATGATTGCTTTGAACAAATGAAAATGGAAACTACACATCTACCGACTGTCTATGAAGCTGCACTACTCAACCCGGACCAAACATTATTTGTGGATGGGTCAAGATTTGCTGATGAACAAGGGCAATATCACACTGGGTATGCAGTTACCACAGAATGTCAAGTGTTACAAGCAGCTGCCCTACAACCAAATAAGTCTGCTCAAGAAGCTGAATTGACAGCCCTAACTGTGGCTTGCAAATTGTCTGAAGGGTTGCGTGTCAACATTTACACGGATTCAAGATATGCCTTGGGAGTAGCACATGATTTTGGCTTAATTTGGAAGACCAGAGGATTTCTTACGGCCACTGGTACCCCAGTAAAACATGGGGCAGCCATTGCAGAGCTGATGGACGCATTGGAACTTCCAGCTGAGGTGGCAGTACTGAAGGTAAAAGCCCATGGAAGACTAGACACAGAAGAAGCACGTGGCAATCACCTGGCTGATCAAGCAGCTAAAGAAGCAGCACGGCAAAGATGGGAAGTGGACAGAAGAGTGGCCACAGATACACTGCCTATCTATACTATGCAAACATTGCCTACAGACCTCAGGCTTCTGAAGGAACAGCAAGCTGCTGCTACTCCCCAAGAGAAACAAGGTTGGAAGAACAAAGGAGCTATACTCCGTGATGATGTTTACACCATTAATCTCAAGTTCTGCCTACCTAGAAGTATGTACCCAGCGGTGGTCCAATGGGCCCATGGGCCAGCTCATCTGTCAAAACTCCTGATGAATTCACTGATTGACAAATATTTCGAAGCACCAGGCATCACCACCTTAACACAGAATTACTGTAAGTCATGTACTATATGTGCTAAATGCAATCCTGGAAAGATTATAAAGACTGCACCTAATCACCTAGCCAAGCCGCAATATCCCTTCCAGAGGATCCAGATTGATCACATTCAGATGCCAAAGAGTGGACGTTATGAATATGCATTGGTCATGGTGGACATGTTTTCAGGATGGCCAGAGGCCTTCCCAGTGACTAATCTCACCGCGAGGACTACAGCCAAATATCTCTTGACAGAAATTGTTTGCCGCTATGGGGTTCCAGAAGTAATTGAAAGTGACCAAGGGACCTCCTTCACTGCCTCGCTAACACGGGAAGTCTGGTCAGCACTGGGGGTGACCCTTGCATTCCACACACCATATCACCCACAGAGTAGTGGTAAGGTAGAGCGCATGAATGGCACTTTGAAAGCCAGAATGCTTAAAATGTCACAAGAAACTAACATGCCCTGGCCCGAGAGTCTTCCACTAGCGTTATTCAGTGTAAGGTACACTCCCAGAGGAAAACACAGTTTGTCACCTTATGAGATTTTGTTTGGTACAGCACCCAGGTTAGGTTGCTACTTTCCCCAACAGCTTCAGATTCAGTCAGACGCTATGGTAGACTATGTGACTGCCCTTTCACATGCCTTGACCAAGATACATGCCCAAGTGTTTTCTTCTATTCCAGATCCTGAGTCGAATACAGGTACACACAAGCTGCTTCCAGGTGATTGGGTTATGGTTAAGAAGTTCCTCAGGAAACACACCCTAGAACCAAGATTTGATGGTCCTTATCAAGTGCTCCTGATTACAGCAACGTCAGTTAAACTAGCTGGAAAAAGTTCCTGGATACACGCTTCACATTGCAAAAAAGTGCCTGCTCCAGGAGAAGCTGATCTTGTTGAAACATGAATTTATTATGTGTCTTGTGTTTTCTTATATTGTTGCATTTTGCCTGGGCCCAACAAGTGGCCATAACCAAAGATAATCATGTTTACACTTTCTGGTACAATTCTTCTGATACTGATGTAGCTACATACACCTTTGATTACTGTGACATAGTTACCTGTACATTCCCACAGACACAACATGCAGCCATATACAAGGACATACCTAACAAAAAGGACCCATACATTTGTGTGACTGGAGGAGCTTGGGGACACCACTGTAGTTCATGGAAAGCTGCCGGGTGGAATACAGGTAGACCATGGGGCTACAGACCTCAGGTTGCACTAGACAGACTTGACAAAGACGGGAAGCCCCTACTTTCTAGAATGACTCTTAGTAAACCCACAGGGTCAACTCCCATTAAACTTACCTTGAACATAGAACACCCTAGTCCAAGGGACGCGGGGGAATATGTGATGGGGATGTACTGGAAGGGAGGTGGCTCACACAATGCACTGGGGACATTCTACCTACAAGACATGCTCACCTCCCCAGACTGGGTGGGGACCACTCACATGATCGTTAACCCGTTAAAACCACATATTAAGACCCTACATGACATGGTAGCTATAGCCAACCCCACCTTTGAAGACACTATGGCAGTGGAAACTGGTTTTTCAGACACTAATTTATGGCTAGAATGGATGAGGTATAATGCCAACTCACACAATAAGACCAATTGTTACGTGTGTGGGGGAGCCAGGCCCCATCTGGGCACAGTTCCTCTGAATTTACCTCCTGAAGTAGAATCATGTGTTCTGAGCCTTTACACACAGTCCGTCACCAATTCCTCGACATGTGAATCATGGAAGAGAATTTACCCGATCACTCACGGACATGTAAAACCACCTGATGGAGTCACCATCTACACAGGTAATTACACATGTTATACAATATCTAAGAACACCGGGTTGTATCTGGGCAAATTCCCATCAGGATATTGCTCAACTTACCATAATCCACCTGTATCACTGTTAATGAACCACACAAAGACAATCGGCGATATCTATTGGTTATGTGGGGATAAACAATTGAGGTCCCAATTAATTGGGCAATGGTGGGGGGAGTGTGCCCTAACCAAAGTCATAATGCCTATCCATATCATTCCAGATGGTGATCATAACACGTTAAACCTCACACATGCACACTCTAGAATCAAACGAGAGACTCCTATTCGAGGGAGTTTCGACCCCATGTGTATATTGATGCCATAGGTGTGCCAAGGGGGGTGCCTAACGAATTCAAAGCAAGAGATGAAGTGGCTGCGGGATTTGAGTCCCTAATTCCAATGATAACTGTTAACAAAAATGTCAATTGGATTAACTATATTTACTATAATCAACAGCGTTTTGTCAATTACACTAGGGATGCCCTACAGGGCCTGGCAGAGCAACTACAAGCCACTACCCAAATGACATTTCAGAACAGAATGGCCCTAGATATGATTTTAGCTGAGAAAGGGGGTGTATGTAAAATCCTCCCTGAGACCATAACATGCTGCACATACATTCCAGACAACACTGGGCCCAATGGTAAGGTGACTATGGCCATAGAGAAGTTAGATAGTCTTGCAGACGAGTTAAAGAAAAATTCAGGAGTCATCGACACTTGGGACAGATGGTTTGGATGGATGAATGGTTGGCAAAGGACCCTCTTCCAGGTGGGGACAGCTGTTCTCATAATGATCGTTATTTTCTTATTTCTGACCTGTTGCATATTCCCCTGCATACAGAGGTATCTACAGAAAGCGGTGGACAAGACTATAGATGACGTGACCCCTACTTTCATACACCAAGACATCACAGACCTCGAAGATGATACCCCACATACACCCCTTCAATCACATCAGTTCAAACAGACAACTGCTTTCCTGTAGGGACAGTATAGGGAAAGCATCTGTCTTAACTGGCGAGTCTCACGTGTGGAGATGTAGTGGACTAGCCACTGCGGGTTACCCGCGGAGTGAAGTGTTCGATGCTAGTTAAGACAGATAGGTTGCAGGCAACTAGGGACATATTAGGGACAGTAGCAGTTGTTATGGTAAATAGCCATTTCAGGGGGGACTGTTGTGGAAATAAGGTCTACACATATTTCCTAGTTAGTGAAAAATGTCTATTTACTCATTTCACGATATATATATATATAGTCAAGCACACACGTTATAATTAAGATGGCTGCTAGAAGCTTCTTGCTCTTTTCCCCCCCCCCCTTCCCTTTCTCCTTCCTAACATCGACTAACTACCTCATGCACCAAGATGGCGCCGGGAAACCGTGGGAGACCCTCATGGTCCCGGTGACATCACCTACAGTAGGCAGAACATTAGAGCAACCACTTAACACCTAACCAATAATTGATGTATTATTCCATGTTATCTCTGACAATGCTTATGATGTAATTTTGCTTTAAAAGGGACTTGCCGTCCCCTCTGAATAAACTTTCCTCAAGTTATTCAACAACCTAGAACCTGTGTCTGGTGTGAATTACTTCAGGGAGCGTGCACGCATTGTTTCATTGATTTGGCCAGGGGCAGATACACAAAGAAATAATCAATACTTTTAATTGATTTTTCCATTTCATATATATAACAATAATTATATATATATTTAATCAGTATCAGTCTACGTGTAATTTGATATTAATATATATATATAATTATATATATATTAATAGTAAAATACACCTAGACGGTGTATGTGTGTGTATGTATATGTGTATATATATACTTAGATCATATATATATAATATATATATATGATCTAAGTATATATAATTTTTTTTTTTACACCATTAACTTATTTTATTTTTATTTTCAGCCAGCAGGGGGACCACCTGTCATTACAGGCAGCCCCCCTGCCGGCAATACAGAAGCCAGCTATCCCCGGCCATGTGATTGTAGGGGTCCTCGCTAGGACCCCACTCTCACATGGCCGGGGGGCTTCCAGGAGGACGGAGGTGCCGCGGGGGGCTCCCTGGGAGTCCCCCCAACCGCGATCGCCGGCGTGGGACCGCCGGCGACCGGGTAAGTTAACAAAAACCGGAGGGCGTACAATTACGCCCGGCGGCGTTTAGAGCCGCCTATTAGAGGGCGTAATTGTACGTCCTCCGGTTTTAAGGGGTTAAATGTGACCAAAATATATTAAATGATGTGTTAAGCAGCCAGCCCAATTCACTAGAATAGCATAAGTATTCTACTATTTAAAGTGCACAATTCCTGCACATAATGACTTTGCTTACTCAGGTACAGTCTTTAGTCTATTGCAATGGCAGTAAAGTCCACCAATTTTAAAAGGGAAAGCTTACTTAAATCAGTGGTACTATCCCCGTACTAGCAGTAAAGAAATTAGAACAATTATATTGTACTACTGACTGTAATCAGATCAGACACATGTAATCTCAGTGAATTTCATAAACTAGGTTTTTATAAAATACGATTAAATAAATAAATGTATAGAGACTAAGCATTAAGAGCATTTACATGCATTCAGCAGCCTGCTCTCTCAAAGCCAGAAAGAGATTTATAAAAAATAAAAAGTAGGTTTTAAAAAGTCCGCAATCACCACACATGATGGGTGTAATAATTGCTTCTTTAAAAGCTATATGCTGCCGCAATTATGTATATAAATACAGATTAGGGCACAGAGTAGATATAAAAATACAGTTTCAAATCTCATATATGAGGATTCAGTTCCACCACATATTCTACAATTCTGAAAGAGGCTAATTTTAATATGTTGTAAAAGCACATATAATGCAAAATTAATTTGATATTGCAAGGCTGCAATATTCTAAACAGACATTAAAATTTAAGAAAAAAAGAAAAAGAATAATGCATAAAAAATAGTGTCAATTAAAGTGATAATACTCTGATATATTAAATCACATTGCATATCACATATCTGCTATATGAAAAGTATAATTAAGGTGACTTTACTGCCCAATGCCCCCTCACATCTATTTTATAGAATCTAT